TGACACCCCCTGTTCTTCCCCTGCCTGGGCTACCAGCCATTCCTCTCCAGCAGCCAGATGGGCAACAGCAGGACTGCAGAGGTCACCAAGTCCAACTCCAGTTTGAGGCCACTTCCCTGCACTCTTATATGCTTTGATCACCTGTTCAAAGCTCCCCTTCAAATAACTCTTCGAGGAGATAGACTCCACAGGAATGAGCCCTGCTTCAGGATGCAACTAAAAGCTAACTAGTACAGTAGAGTTGGTGGCGTGTGTGAATTGTGTCCAAGTAAACAGCATCTGAACCACAGGGGCCAGTTGTTTTTTCCTTCCCTATGCATATATGAAGACACCATCAGGTCAGCCAGTGCACAGCATGCTTGCACCCTGCAGCATGTTGGTTGTGAATGATTTCAGCACAAAGTTTGGAAAGGCCAGAGGGGATTCTGGCCTGACTTGGGAAGATGAGCTGGCCCAAAGCCCGTGGGTAGCAGGCCTGAAGAATGCAGGGCCCTAGAGAGCTGAAGAGTGCCAGGTCTGCGTGGAAGACCCTGGTGCTGGAAGCCTCAAAAAGGGACCAGTCCAGACTGCCCCAGAATAACTACTAGGTGGAAAGCAAGAGGGTCAGTATTGCATCAGCAACATTTTCTGCCAAAATCTGAGCAGAGGCACAGGGCTAGAATGGCTGTGATGTAAGAGTATTTACTGCTGTGTCTGGTTGCTTTCTTAATGCATTGCCCAAGGAGCAGGAGGGACCACACTTACACAGCATTAAGTATGAATAGCAAAGCTTTGTTAAAATAACAGAAAACTTAATAGCACTTGGGAACATTCTTGGGCCTTAGACTACGACTGTCTGTATCACCAAAGGGTTGGACCAGTTCTTGATACACGTCTGCCTGAACCAGCCAGGCCTCTCCCAGGCAATTCCTGCAATTCCAGGCCAGGAAACTAAGATGCTCCAGATCCACTCCCAAGAGAGTTCTGCATGCTGCCACCCTGTTTGGGACCAAGACAATGTAATTGTATAAGAACAGGTCATTTTGTGCCAGCTGGCCTCAGTACTTGGGGATATTCCTAGGCACATTTTATTTACTAGCAGAGACATCATCTCAGGGACAGAGGCAGGTAAGATACTTTATGTAGAGCATACTGGAAAGTGAAAACAAATACAATGAAGTCCAATGAAGCACAGGAGCCAGCACAGGCCTAACTGTGTGGCCATCTTCAGTTCAAGCCATTGGTTTTGGTGACACAAGTTGAGACTCCCAGATGCAGCTTTGGAGGTTAGTCTCCCAGTACTACAGCAAGGAGCCTTACAGCTCAGACAACATCAAATAGGGATAAAATCCGCCCCCCAACCTCATGCTGTGAGGACTCCGAGAGCCCAAGGACTCCCAGCTGGACCATCCCAGGAATCCATGCAACCTGCTCTATTTTCCTTAGGAACGTTTGATTTGGAAGTATTTGTTATTCCAAAGTAGTAACTGCTAATGCAAAAAGAGTTAGTAAAATGAAGTTAAACTGTAAAGACATCCTTAAGTGTAAGAAAACTGCTGCAGAAGTTCTCAGCTCTAATCACATTTAGTTATTTATGTCTTACTATACAGATGCCTGAGATATCTGACATACATGTTTTTTACTTCAGCCTTAGTAAGAGAAATAATATGAACATTTCTGACTAGAACACTACAGACATTTTAATAAAATTTTCCCCTCTTATCAATGAAGGCAATAATTATAAATAAGTAATTTTCCCCCCCTCTCATAGCACATGTTCCTGGCAAATTAAAACCATTCTTTAGATAAATGAAGTATTTTAAAGTCTAACCACAGAACTAAACTCGAAGAGCCAAAAAATGTCTATGGTATCTTCAAAAAAAGAAATGAGTACTTACCAAGCTCTGCAGGTAGCTCTTTTATAGGATTCCTTTCTAAAAGCAGAGTTTTCAATTGCCTTTTCAATAAAACAGAAAATAGTAGCAATTGTGAGAGCAAAGTTCATTTAATTAAATGGAAACACAAGAATATTTTTCCTCAATTTTCTTCTTGCTTTTGTTTCCTGCTACAGAAAGGACTCCACAAGGTAAATCCACACTTCTCCATCGCTAACATCAGTGCTGGAAAATAACACACCCCAAACCTTTCTGGTATGACAATCTGAAGTTTGCATTTATGCCCATCTACTATATACTACTTCAGTATTCAGGATTTGATCTTTCTTTGCAAAGCCTGCTTATCTCTTTAAAGTCTGATACTGACTGTTCCAATTATAAACACAACATTTTCAGTTGTTTATATTTTTGCTGAGCTTCAGCTGTTTGGGTTGAGTATGTTCCTCAGGCTAAATTTGAGCTAAAATTGCTCAGCCTTTTTTGACAATAAGATTAGAAAGAAATATGCCCTATTTGTATTTTAATTTCGTTAACTTCTTTTTTTTAAAAGCTCTAGTGTTCCTATTCTTGGAAGCAGCCTAGAAGCTTGGCATGGGTCACATACAACATTTATGGCATTTTTGTCACATACAATATTTTTTTGATACATCTGAAAATGTGCTAACATTTAGACAAATCCTAAGCTTCTGAAAAAAAAAAAAAAAGTCAGTATGACTCTGCTCAGAAAACAATTGGTATTGTTTAGCAAGTAAAACGCCCAGAGTTGCTATACACGTTGTTATTTGGAGCATCTCTAATGGGAACCTCTGGGCTACTGTGTGTTTAGAATACAGGGACACTTCATCCAAATGCAGGGAGTTTGTCTCTTTTTCCCCTTGTAGTGCACAGCCGCTGACACCCAGGCAGCTATGAAACTGAGACTATACAGAAACCATACTTTAACCATTTCCTAATTTTTGACTGCTTCATTTTGCCATTTTAATAGCATTCTTTTAAATAGCTTTTAATATCCAGCAACATATCAGATCAAATGATATTCTATAGACAAGGTGTTGTCCATACCATAAGTGAAATATCATCCTAACAGAAAAGTTAATAGGTTTTTATTTACTAGTGTTGCAATTTGACTTGTTTACTGTTAAAATTCAATAAAACAAACAAGAAGAAAGCTTGGTAGTTTCTGTCATAATATTTCTTTACCTCTAGGAAAGAAAAACAAACCAAACATTTTGGCAGCTGCTCAACAACGGATTAACATTTGTGGCGATATTTTAAGACATTTCAATTCAGTCAAAAAATCAAAGCACCATATTCATGTTTGCATTTTTGAAGTGGAGTACTGAATTCCGTTTAAAGTTAAAGTGACAGGAGATTCCAGACTCCAAAACCCGAATTCCCCCGCAGTTTAAAGCACCACGGTACGCCAGGGCGATTCCGCTGCCTCAGAACCCCCAGTGTTTAAGGCCCTGTGCACGGAGAGCTAAGGCCCTGCACCACAGCAAATGCTTGTTCTTGCCAGCTCTTGCCTGAACGCAACCTCTGCGGCAACGATGATGTGGAACATGCCCTTGGGTGATCCCTGCCCAGCCGTACATCCAGATCTCGCAGAGATTTCTAGAGAGAAAGGTATTAGATTGGTACTTTCCCTCCCTGCACGCTGGGCTAGACACCATTTCCACAACTGAGGCGGTATTTTTGTTTGACCTGGAGGAACTTTTATCAGAATATCTATTAAAATCAGTGAAAAGATTCATGAACAACTTGAATGGTCAACCAATTGGGCCCCAAACTAGCACTATGTTTCCATGAGTCTCTGCTTTTGATGGAAACAACAGTTTCGGCTGCTTCTAGAAAAGGATACCCAGAGAGTTTCCAAACATCTTACAATGTATCTTATGCTCCAACATGTAATAAGGATAAAATGAAACTATAATAATGTTGAAAAAGCTAAGTAATATTCCTGATGAGCATTTTCTAAAGGCTGAGCTGCTGTTTGAAGTCAGTGAAAAAATACAAACAAGATAAATCATAATACATGCAGGGACTAATGACTGACATTATTTTCAAGGAAGACGCACACAGAGAATGTCTTAATCTCAAAGGATTTCAACCACTCACGCAATGATGATCATATAATTTACAAACCATATTAAAATACTCTGTCCTGTCCAATTTAAAAATAATTTATGAAAGCTGTATTTGAAAGATTTGAAAACATCATTAAACTTGACATTTTTCAGCTATTTTTAGAGGCATAACCTTCATTTACTGTATTTTCCTAATCACAAGTTGAATATATAATGATTCACAAACAAGTGATCTTAAAATACCTTTAAGCATCATGTTTCAATCACAAGATACCATGAAATTGTTGGGGTTTGGGGGAGGTTTTGTTTGTTTTGTTTTTTAAATTCTGTAGCAGATACTGTTCAAGGGTTGCCCACTTTTCCTCCTTACTCACTCTTTACAGAAAGGTTTCTTTTAGAACTACAACCACAAGCAAACTGTCCTCTGCTGGTCTTCTTTTTTTTTTCCTTCCAGTAACAAAACCATTTCTTTGATACTGTTAATTACCATACGTTGTGATTTGTGGTCTTCCATTTCTGGAGTGAGAAGCAAGGAACTGTCCAACAATGTTTAAAAAAAAAAAAACAAACCAAAAACACTGTTGAGAAGTTAGTTTTGGTGATCATGGCAACACAAGAGCAAGTGCACTTTTCAGGGTCACAGCAATGTGGTGTACTTTCTTCCTCGCACACTCCATCTGAATTAGTGACAGCCAATTAATCCTTCCAACAGTTAATACCATGTCAGGTAACTACCAAAACCAGATTAATGAGTAATGTTCTTTGACTAAACTGTCTTTCATTGTCACTTAGGAGTGACATGAGGTTTGTAACTGTGGGTCCCCATTTTCACCTCACCTACAGCACTGTAAAAATTGTCACCTACAGTCAATAAAATTAAAATGGTGCAAAACCTACGTGAAAAGACTAACAGGTCTTACATTTCTAAAGTTGAAAGAGATTAGAAATTCACTACGTAATATTAATTGAACCTTTCAGTTCATCTGAGTTTTAGTAAACAAAATTAAGCTTATTTACTGCTGTCCTGCACTGAGGTCAACGCCAAACAAAAGCATATAAAAATCTGACTGTTACAATGAAATTACAGTAAGGCAAATAGAAGACAAATACGATTGCTATTAAATTATCTGTATGACCAATGATCTTACCTGTGGTAACCGATTCCAGGGGGAAGAGCTTTAATCTTGTTATACCGGAGATCCAGCCAAACAAGATATGGCAGCTTTTGAAATAAATCCTCGGGAATCGTTGATATGACATTTCCTTCCAGATGAAAGTACTACCAGAGAAAAACACAAACATGTTTTAAATCCAGAAAGAGAGGGGCCGTTCCTTGGCATGCAAGATGTCGAATGTGAAAACTGTAAACTGCTCTATGCTTTTATGGAAAGAACACTGTTAAAGGGAATTAAAGGATATACAACTATAAATTACACATGGAAGTGATTTATTTAAGGACTTTTTCTTAAAAAAAAAGTGATTAAAGATCATAGCTAAGAATCTGTAGCTTTTCGACTCATCTGACAAAGCAACCAGCCCTTAACTGCTCTGTGCTATACTTAAGACAAGGGTATCAGAACTACTCACAACCATTTACTCACCTTTATGCTGGGCAGTCTATATATTTCCTCAGTAAGATGCTTAATATTTTTTCTGCTGACATCAAGAGTACTTGAAGATGACAACAGACACTGTTCAACAGCTTTCCTGATCTCTTTTGATGAATCAGAACCAGACAAATTTCTCTTTTTGAGATGTTCATCTCCAAAATTATCACCACTGCCATTAAACTCTTTAGAGTAGTTGTCATCCATTTGTCAGCAAGCCTAGAATACCGACTCAGTAATTCAATCTGATCAGCTGAAGGCAAGTCATGAGCTGAGAAAAACAACAATGTGTTTTGGAAAGAGAACATACGCAAAGCAAGCTTCTTTTTTATATTACTAATTTGCAGATTATCCCCAGTGCTACATGTTCTTTGTATGATACAAAACAGTCAAATTGTTCTTTATATATATACACACTTATAACAATGATTGCATTTACCATAATACATATTTAAAGGTACAGTAAATAAGAAAAATCACCGATTGGCCCTTGTGGCGATTTTCCCCCCACACCATGTCACGTGTAGGTTTGGCAGAAACACTGACACACATATATGCAGTAAATAACCTCCCTTCTGACAACATACTGTCTTGCCAAGTCTCCTGGCTACCCTCTTGGTCTCATCAATCTCTCCTTCTCCCCTTTCTACTAGGTCTTATACAGGCACTCGCACGTTACTGCTGCACCTCGTTGGAGGTAGAGTGTGAGCGAGGCTTTGGGGGGCTTTCCCAGCTCATCTCCAAGGCCGAGGGTGCCGTAAGGGCCTCAGCTGCTTCGCCTGCACCGGAGCACAGACCTCCCCAAGCGCTGCAGTGCTCCCTGCCCTCCCTTCCCCAGAGCTCAGCACAGAGCTGCTGGCAGGCGGCTGCTTTACGGCACTGGCTCATGGGGAGTAACTGCTGCCCTGTTCTCCAGTGAACGGCAAACCGACAGCTCCTCGGCCCGCAGCCGCCTGTGCTCCCAGGAGGGTCTCGCTGGCCCTCGCGACCCAAGAGCCGGCACGCGACCCTATCCATGCTACAAATCAACGCAAAGAAAACGTCCTCTTTGTTGCAGTCTTTCTAATGTCTACTGATCTTCGCGGGTGCGAGGGTCGTAATAAGGTGCTTAGCTGTACTCCTTTTTACCTCCAGGCCCGGGCTCTGCCTGCCCGACACACACCGCTCCGGTGAACCTCGCCCGAGGGCTCCCTGTGCTTCGGGTCTCCAGACGTGAGGCAGGAGTGGCCGCGGGCCCTCGCCCCGAGACGCAGGGGTCCCCCGGCGGCAGCGGAGGACGCCCTGGCTGTGGCAGCCCTGCGGAGGCGCCTCCTCCAGGCGAAGGCGGCCG